ATCTGCCGTCCAGGCAGCTCCGAGCACCCGCACGGCAGATAACATCCACGCCCCTTCCCCAGTGCCCTGGTCCGGGCTGCACGAAAGGGGAGCCGGGGGTTGGGGCAGCAGAGAGCCTGGCACGAAGGGAGCTTGGCACGGGCAGCACGGAGGGCTCAGTGCGCCCTGGGAGCGGGGTGCAAGCGGATGGGGCTTTGGGGGAAGGAGGCTCAGACACACAGAGGTGCAGAGGAGGGAAGGTTTATTCAGAGGCTGCAGATGCTCCGCAGGGCTCCATGCCCTCGAGGGGAGCAATGCAGTGAGGTCTGCAGGGTGAACCGCAGCCAGGCCCAGCTCTCCGGGGGGCTGGGGAAGTGAAGCTGGAAGGACAGAAGCTGCCCAGACCAGGCACTAGTCCCAGAGCAGTGCAAGGAGGAGCCCAGGTCACTGCACCACCTCCTCCTCCAGCCTTTGTCACCTCTGTGCTGATAAGGGCCCCAGGGATTGGGCTGTGACCCCTGCACACTCTCCCTGCAACCTATCCCTGCCCCGGCGGGGACAAACACTGGCATCAAGAACAGGGCATGAGGCCCCAAGTGTCAGGACTTGAAGCTATGTTGGGGTTAGGGCAGCTCCTAGCTCCTGTCTCACTCAGACCTCCCCACCCCCAGTGGCACCGGGCAGTGCAGATGCTAGAATGGGCCACCTCCTACAGTTTTTGGGCCCTCTTGGATCCACCAAGCAGCTGCACTCCTGGGTCCTGAAGCTTTGTTGTGCTGTGCCAGGAAGCGCTGCACTGGACCAGGGGCCAAGCAAGGGCCACCCATGGGCTTCAGTGGTTTGTACATCCTGTATCTGAAGGCCCCTGTGCCCACCAGCCCCTGCCCTGCAGACTGGGTACTGAGGTCTGCTGACCGCACTGGGCAGGGGAGGAGGTAGGCGTGGGGGGGGACCCTCTGCTCCAGGAGGCCTGTATGCCCACAGTGCTGGCATTGTACATGAGGGACTGGTCTTGGGCACTGGGACTCGGACTCCTGCAGACCCACCGGCTGCTTCTCGTCAGTGCTGCAAATGGGACAGATACCCCTGGGAAGCTGCAGGCAAACCACCCCCCGTCCTTCCCTCCCAGAGGGGAGCAGGGCTGGGTGGCTGGGCCCCGCTTAGTCCTGTTTTGGCTGCTTTCCAGCCATGATGTACACTGCCATGGTCTTGGAGATCAGTGCTCCCAGCACCAGCAGCAGGATGAGCCCCTTGGCCTGGCAATAGGACAGTGAAGAGGCTGGAGCAGAGCAAGGCAGTGGGTCAGAGCTGGGGGCAGAAATCAGCCCGAGCCAGGGCTGCGGTCCCTCTTTGGCTACTGATGGGCAGGAGCTGGTAGTACCAGGGAGTGGGGAGCCCTGGGCTGTGAACAGGGGCCAGAGCGGGATGGTGCCTGCTGGGGTTGAGGACCCAGAGTGGGGCAGTTGCAGTGCCCGACACCAGGTCTCTCAGCAGCACTCAGAGCAGAGGAAATACACTTTACTGTAACTGCGGTGATGGGGAACCAGCAGTGAGCTCAGGTCTTGCTTTCCATGTTGCTATGCTCAAGCGGCAGCTCAGCCGGCCATCACGAGGCCGAGGAGTCACGGCACAGCTGGGCCACCTTGTTATGTATCCAGCTGTTTTCATGCTGCTGCTGCCAGGACCTGGGCTACAGGGCAACCCCATGCATTCCTGTGTGGTTGCGTTCAAGGTCAGCTCAGTGCATTGCTATGACAGGTTGCCCTGTAGCTTGGGGACCCATGCCTGGTCTACAGGTCTAACCAATGAATTCCTGTGGTGAGTCAAGCTGTTATCCAGCGCTATCAACATCAGTATCACTTTGCTTGTACAAGTGGGAAAATAGGTATGGAATAACTATCGGCCAACACTTGACAGTTTGTAGGTGCCTAATGCCCTTTACATTCACAAAAGCAAAGTGTCTAAATACCTTCCAAGGCCCAGCCCTAAGTGTCTGGCCCATGAGCATGCAAAGCTTGGGAGCAGGGAGTTGCAAGTGTCATGCAAAAATTGTTCTTTGGGTTTCCCCGAGACAAGAAATTGCTTCCAACGGCAAGCTCGTTTCTGCTTTGGGGTGACTCAAAGGGGCCCTCAGACCAGACAGGGACAAACCTTAGTCAGGTTCCTGCTAAGGGACATTAACCCGTGGCTGGGAAGTTGCACAGCAGTTTGACATGGATGGTGGCCGTGCCCCAGCTGGCTGCATTGCTGGCGTTGCAGTGATAGAAGGTGTCGTTGCTGCCCGCAGTGATGTCCAGCTGTAGCTGGGATTGATGCCCCGGAAGCTGCTGGTCCTCTCTGGCTGGGCTTTCAGCAGTGGGTTGGACTACATGCGAGCTGCTGAGGTCCCTTCCAACCCTCATTTTCTGTGGATCTATAACTTCTCCTGGCTGCTGCAGAGGTAAATGCAGCCCCTTGGCACTTACCCTGAGCTTGGAAATGCAGAAGGCACTGCAGAAAGGGACAGAGCGCTTCCCCCATCGCGGCAGGCATCTGAAGGGCGAAGAGACAGCAGAGAGAGAGGGTGGAAGGAGTCAGATAGAGAGACATGAGTGAGGAGGAACCAGGCCGACTTCCCCATGGAGGGCTCCATCCTGCAGGTGAGGGGAGGGAGCGAGAGCCCGCCCGGATCCGCCGGGGGAACCAGCGGGTCCAGCTCGTCGGGGCCAGGGCCATGGGGCTGGGAGGACGGCGGGATCCCGGCGGCCCAGGACCCAGGGGCTGCCCCAGCCAGGACACAGGTGCGAGCCCCGGTCTTGCTGCCGGGTCTGACCCCTCCTGGGCAGGGACAGGATGCGGGGGG